TAAAATTGTCATGTCAATTCGTCCATCACTACAGCAAAATCGAAGAATTATTTTTAAAGATACATAATAATACGACTTTCTCAGAGAAAATTCTTGCCTATCAAATAACATTTGACAATGGATATTGATTTCAAAACTCAAAATAATATTGGGACATCATTTCAAATAATCATTGATTTATTGTATTTCCATATCATTTCAATTTCAAACTTTAAAATATAGAATTTGAACTTTGAAACATAGATTTTGTAAGTTTTTCAAGTTTTTAGTGATAAAATTTTGATTTTGTATTCATATTCAAACAAATCATGTCTACGATATTTGGGAGAAAACTTAACCTTTTCCTATAATTGGTATTTTTGAGTAATTATTGACATTTAGTAATATTGTTTGCCTGACACCTTTAACTTGCACAGTTATGTGAAAGGTTGGATACCATTAAGAGCCTTTTTTTCCTCCTGGTGATAGATTGGACATTTCCATGTGAATTGAGCAAATAACACAGCTTTCACAGTTATCCTTTACTGGTTTGGATCATAGAACAGAAAACATCATACAAATAATAACAAAAATGGAAATAACTTTAAACTTTTCTAGCTAGTTTAGTAAAAATTGCTTGTTTTGGAGTGAAAAGGCCCAAGGACAATCCTTTTAGAGTGGCACAAAGGCTTGACCTTGGGACTTTCACGTTGAAATCACTTGAAGGTCTCAGGTTTGAAATTCCTTGCCAGCGAAAATAAGAGATTTGTCTTTTGGGTCGAGCTTGTCGCACCAGATTTGCCTAGTATGGATTAACTCTCCTATGTGGTTTGCGAACTATTGCATAGAAACGGAAATTTTACTCCGTGTGCACCCAAAGAATAGTGATTGCAGGTTTTTCTTGTCATTGCAATTAGGAATGTTAAATTAAGGGTTGAAATAATAATTTAAATTCTTATGAGATAAAATTGAAGTTTTATTGGATATGCAATTGAAAATTTTGAGTCTTATGTTTGCTCCTAAACATAAGAATTCCCTTAATTGTGAAACTATAAAAATTGCATCAATTCTTTATACAATTTTATTAAATATACAAAAGTTCATAACAAAAGTATAACATACTACCGTAAAGTTATGCTAAAGAAAATAGAACATTTATTAAAACATTAGTTGTAGATTTGTAGTGTACTATTCTTTAATAAAATTGAGTATGATCAATATCATTAGTAACTATTTTATCATATTTATATTGCGTGAATATTTCATCACTTTTTTCGTATTTTCATAAAAAATATAAAATAATAGATTTTTTATGCAATTTATAAATTTGTGAATTAATTTTTTTTTATTTGCAAATGTAAAATCATGATATGAATTTTCAAATTAAGCTTTTTGGAGAATTTAAAATTTCATCTCATAATTTAAAATTAAAATATAAAATCACATATCGAAACGCATGTTAAAATTGAAACTCTAGTGAAATCTCATGGCTATGTCCCAATAGTTGTATGATAGTATTATTTATTAATTCATAGTTTTTGGAATGAACTTGTAAGTTTCTGGGACAGATTACTGCATTTGCTTCCTACGTACACTACAGTGTCATACTCGTGAAGATAACAGAAGGTGTCGGGGATGTAACTCCAAATAGTTGATTGATTCTTATTTTTATTTCGTTATAAATCCTTGCAGGATTGACATGGTTTGAAACTCGATAGATAATTAATCTATACTTTTACTTTTCCATGCCTAAGTATCTAATTTACATACTAAATGCACTCTTACCATTAAATCAAAGCCCGAAGATTAATTGAATTTATTGTTAATCTTGATGTATGCACACTTATCAGTGAACCAAAACCTGGAGATTAATTGAACTTATTATTAGTTAGACAAGTTTTAATCAATTTGAAGCTTATAGTTTGACCGAAATTACATTTTTTTTATGATTGCAGTGATCGAGTTAATTTATGTGTACTTCGACTAATTTTACGGGATATTTATCATCTTTCACCAAGATCATGTATCAGGTAACTCTATCAACCAAAGTTACAGATGAAAAGAAATCACCTAGTATATTTTTATCTCTATTAGAATTTAAATTTGAAACTAAATAATTCTCAAAATTCATTGACCACTAAGCTACACCTTTAAGTGTAATTAATTAAATATTTTATTCAGTATTATTCTAAATTATAGGCCTTTGGTAGTGAATAGATATTAGAGGATCAATTTTTTTAATAACGTTGATGTCTGAGTCAATTTACACATGTGATTAATGTCTGAGTTGACTAATCCCAGTACAATAGGGCTGGTAAAATGATTAAAAAGAACAAGTAACCCCATCTAATCCGATCCATTAGATACGAGTTGGATATCCGATTTTAAAAAAAAATGAAAATTAAATTTATATTATTCATCAATTAACATATTTTCTATCTGTGATAAATAAAAAGTCTAATTGAATATTTTTTTTATTTTTGATCCGCTCATATTTTATTCAACCTGCTCTTTTATCACCTATTGACACAACTTTATGGTAATTTGTACACAAAGTTTGGGCAAATGGGAGAATTCACCTACCACCGTTTCTAGTGGAATTTGAACTATATAGATTCCAAGTTTGTTATTCTAGTCCTTTAATAGTTTGGTTACCCTTAGTGAGTTGGGGCTATGTTATTTAATGACTCTCTTTCTAGTGTTTGGTTCTTTATTATAACTATCATTGCTTGGTGTAATTTTATAAGTGCAATTTTATGAGGATGGTATGTATGTAATTATATTTCTATCCTGTAAAGGTAAAATTATTTTTGATAAACCCTCTGCTAATCCGATTTTACCTATTTGCTGTTACTCTAATCTTGAAAAAGAGTTAGGAGCCATGCCAGTGGCAGGTCCAAGTAGCATTAGAAATTAAATAGAAACTGTTTGGAAGAAAAGCAGAAATATATATGAAAGAAAACAGAGAGAAAAGGAAGGGGGAGGTATGGAACATTTCTGTCTTTAACAGGCTAGCCTTTCCAAAAGGTCCAAGTTCTCTGTTTTAAGTAACAGACACTAGTCATATCAACAATTTGTACATAAATATTGGATTTTATTAAACAAATACTATTATTATTATGTTCACATACAATTGTTTATACAAAGAAATGAGGTTACAATAGTATGGAGATTCTCCTGTCAGTTTCTGTAGGCCTTCTGGTGACGTTTTGATCCCGGTCCCATGGTAGCCTCCACACAAATTGCTTCAAAACCATCAGAAAGTTGTATGCCTAAATTACCCTCTTTTTCAATTAATTGAAAAATGGAACAAGTGTCAAAAGTCTTCAACCACAAAACAACTAAAAGCCTCAATCTAATGTAATCTAGGGTCGGCTATATGATTTCTCATTGATCATGTTGTTCTACAAGCATAGAAATTTCAGACACCTTGAAATGATAATGTCATAAAAGTAAAAATATTAACATGCTAAAACATATTCCGACTCAGCTTCTCTATTTATTGCTAGGTTTGCATGAATTTCAAGACAACTTCTTCAATGTAATTTAGGTGTACCTCATTCCCACTTACCATGATTTCACACCTACAAATGATCCATATGGTGATTGACACAAAACATGACTAGATCATATAAATTGGTCTTTTTCTCTTTTTTACTCAGTACGTGCTATTTGTAACTTCTGATGGAGTTATTTTTTATTTTATCTAATCTAGTATGATTGCACATCCATTTTAATCTCCACATCTCTACAACATTCATCTTGCAGATATATACCGGACTCTAGAAACTAGAATCTACTCTTATATAAAATTGTTAGTAATTTACAAGTTACCTTATAGTTTGATATGTATCCTTCTTTCACCTAACACCTTAGTACTACTTCTCTATTTCTAGCATTCTATTTTTATTTTAACATTATTAAAATAACAAATAGCTGCTTAAAATACCCTTTAGAATAACTTTTGTGTTAATATATATCTGATAACTAAAGTAGTAATTGGCCTCTGAAATTGATGACTTAAGAGGTGCAGGGCCATGTCATGAAGTTATCTTTGCCCTTTTGTGCATTAAATAGAATTACTTAATTAGTTTGTAATTGAGGATTATTACATACATCTATATCTTGTACAAAAGATATGTATAGAATATGTAGATCAACTCTGTTTTTCTGCCTTGACGTATATGTGTGTGTATTTTCCTTAATTTTAATCGTTGGAAATGAAAATGAAAATGAGCATTTTGCCACACTCCTAATGCTTTATGAAAATGAAGAGACAAGTAGTTTAGAGATATAAACATTGAGGGGTCACGTTTGGTAGGAAGTATAAGAGAATCTAATATATGTATTAGATATGATATTATATAATATAAATATTTATTTTATGTATTCGTTATACACCTTGTTCAGTATCATGGAGTGTGTAACCAATACATAACAAATCATGATATTAGTAATACAAGGGTTACAGATTTATGCATAAGAATGGTTAAAGATAAAATTGACCGTAATACACCAAATCAAACAATGAATAAGAAATGATTCCAACATATCTAATCTCAGCATATCACATTCCTGAATTACTAATCCCAACATAATTAATACATCCTATTTAGGTCCTATTTTAATACACTTTACCAAACGACCCTACCCTGATTCTTTCTCTAGTTGAATGATTGATCTATCCTGTCTTAACCATTTCTTAGAGGTAGTAAAATAGGTAATTCTGAAAATTAATTTGTCAACGGTTAGATAAGTAAAAGATGCTTGATTTTCTGAGCATTGGTGGTCTTTTTGCAGGCCTTAATTATGGTGGAGGCTAGTGGACTGCCTTTTCTTTTGGATGTGGGTGGCAACCCTTAAGACCAATTGTATCCTTCCAAACTTGGAAATAATGGATTCATCCTTTTTACCGTTTCCACTTAAATATCAGGCTTTTAATTCGCATACTACAAGGCTCGAACCAGTGGCGTAAATCACTAGTCCGTCAACCTTTGCCCCTTGAACTAAGTCTGGTAGGTTTGGTACTGCCTTTTCTTTATTCTCCCAATTGTGTTTACATTTCTTGTTTCTTTAGTTGTTTTATTTTTTGAACACTGCATATATGTATAATGAGACTTTTCTAGCCTAACCAAAAGGTCACATGAACATGCCTTAGTGTAAAGACTTATATGCAGCACCGAAGTCATCAATGTACATGAATCCTGTGAAAGTCCATTATTTCACACTTTGGAGTCTTTCTAACCTTGATTTGGCTTAGCGTAATGGACACTAGTCAAATTGTTTGCTTTGATGATGGATTTGATTTTGTTTTCTAGTTTGGCTTATCCTTTTGAAAACTATGTTTAGAATTAAAGGTTTGAACTTTGACTTTGACAACTTAAATGATAGATGTGGTTGAGCTAGTCATAACACCAACTTTATGTGTTATTTATGTAATGAGATTAGTTTATCCAAAACAAGTAAAAACGAACAGAGGATTTTAAATATGGACTCATGGTTGAGTTTACCTCAGACTTGATTTAACTTGTTACCATAGCAAGTTCAATAGGCTTAACTCGACTCAACTTGATTCGGCTCAATACTCAAATTTACTTATAGGTTAAAGTTGTCTTAGTGTAACCTATAGGTTACAGGTTGAGTAGTGGAAGCAATCACTAATGCTTGTATTAGGGTAGATTGTCTACATCACACCCGATGTGGTGCGGTTTTTCTTCGAACCCTGCTAATATGAAATGCTTTGTGTATCGAGTTACACTTGATGTTGTTATAGTGGATCCTCCAACTATTATGGAAGATTATGTCTCATACATCCTTTTAACTTGATCCTATTAAAAAAAGGAGGAGGGTGCTTACACATGTAACTGTCATTTTGTAGAGTAAAATCTGTTATGGAACTCTTCCTAACTACCCCCATCTAAGACTAAGTAACAAAAGAATAGTAGAAAAATAGGAAAACTCCAAAAGTATTTAAAAACCCTAGACTGTCTCTAGCTATTTATATGCACCCAAGAGACCTTCCTAACCTCTGCCTCTCCTCTGCATAGTGTGTACTTTGGCTCCTCAGAAAGTGAATGACATGTTTCTTTAGACCGACCTTCTTGCTCTAACCTCCATTTCCATCCTAAAATAGATCCCAAAAAGTGTGCAAAAAGCAAAGCCATTTGAGTAAAAGATAAGGGGAAGATCATCACCAAAGGAAGGAGGAGTTATGGAAGTAGCAAAGGTTGATAAACTAAAACAAGAGCCTCATCTATCTGGTGCCTATATTAGAAGCTTAGTTAAGCAGTTAACTTCTTCAAGAACCAAAGATCCTTTGAATCCTAAAGACCATGATGATTCACTAGAGAATTCAACAAAGCTTGATGATAATTTGTGTAGTGATACACAATTGTCATCACCACAGCCAGCAGCAGCACCACCACAGATTAAAAAGAAACAAGTGAGGAGGAGACTCCACACCAGTAGGCCTTATCAAGAGAGGCTTTTAAATATGGCTGAGGCTCGGCGTGAGATTGTCACCGCCCTTAAGTTTCATAGAGCGTCTATGAAACAACAGCAGCAGCAACAACAACAACAATCTCACACCGAGCCACAGTCGTTGCAGACATGGCCTCAAGAATCTTTAGGAGAAGAACAAGGGAAGCAAAAATCCCGGAGAAACCCCAGGATTTATGCTTCCAACAATATGGCTAATAACTTACCATGTTACAACATGGAAAATTTCTCCAATTCAACCTTCCCTTGTCATCCTCAATATCCTTATACTTGTCCTGTTTCATCCTTTGGTTCACTCCAAGACAACCTGAATTTTCCACTTCCCAACCAAACATTAGGATTAAATCTCAATTTCCATGATTTCAACAATTTAGATGCAACCCCTTATTGTAGCATGAACAATAAAAATTCAATCTTTTCATCATCATCTCCTTCATCTTCTTCAGATGAATTCCATTGTGTGGGAGAAGGGGTTGGTCCTATAAGTGAAATGGTGAATTCAAGGCTGCATCCATCAATGGATGACCAAGAAATGGAAGAGATTAGATCAGTAGGGGAACAACATGAGATGGAGTGGAATGACACACTCAATTTGGCAACTTCAGCTTGGTGGTTCAAGTTCTTGAAAACCATGGAAATTGGACCTGATGACAAAAACGTTGCTGAGGATTATGGATGTTATCCATTTGATGAAGTCATGGAATTCCCTCCATGGTTTAATCCAAATGAAACCTTCTTGCAACAACATGTTGATGATACCTATTCGCATCCTACCTTACCATGGTAACTATTTCTTACTCAATTTCACTTCTGTTTTCATTATTATTTGCTATTCTTCTTTACATTCGTATAATCTGCTTGAATCGTGAATCTTTCGAAAATAACCTTTCATATATCCTATGAAATTACACTAGGAGTTCTTTCATTTTTCATTTTTAGGTTGATTTTTATGTTTAAAATAATAGGAAATGTTTTTTTTGTTCCTATGTCATCTTACTGTACAAGATGCTCTTTGTTTATTTTTATAGTTAAAAAAAATAGTCGCCCACAGAAATGAATTGAGTATAACATATTAAATATAATCTTATTTGTTGAACTTCATGTATAATTAGCAAAAGTTTAATGCCATCAAGTTATTCTCCCGACTTATTTAACATCAGTGACAATTTATTTTAGGAAATTTCCATGGCCAAAACTGATGCATGGTATTAGCATATCATGTTTTGTTGGTATTAAATGTATACGGAAGTATGGGTCTTAGCTAGCTTTGACACGTCAAACGGTGGAACAAATGAAACAGACAACCCATTGGGCCCACCTTTTCTTTCTTTTTTTTTAAAAAAAATTGTGTTTCTTTTTTTTTTTTTGTGTTAGGGGTTTGTTGAGAAAATATTGAATTTGTAATTATCTCTAGCAGCTGTTCATTTTTATTTGAAAATTAATTATCTTAATAATTAACATGGAAGGTACAAATCTATTTAGTTTTAGGTTCTTCTCTTTTAAAATTATTGCGTTGTTAATAATGTATTTTATGATTTTCTTAAAAATATTTAATTATTAAGAAAGGTGATATAGTTTGATATTTTAATAAATATCGTAAGAATTTAAGAGATTCAAGATTACTAATGTCTTCATACTTTCTTTGCGAACACCTAAGAATTTATTCGAGATTTTGATTTTTAAAAATATCAAAAAATTTGCAAGATCTCTTGAAAAAGGATGTCTTTGTGATCTCTATATGAAAAATTAAAATTTATAAAATATTTAAGATCTGAAATCTAAAAATGAAACCACACTTGATTTATATATAATGTTTTTACCTTTCAAATTAGGTATAGATATCGAACATTAAATTAAAAAAGATCCGTAAATTGTATTTCTATATTTCTTTTTCTTTCACTAAAAAGAAGAAAGTTGATCCTTTATTTATATATTCCTATCATTATTGTTATCATCATCATAATCAAATCTGACTTTTAAATTATTATATTTTCATTGTTCTTTTTTAAGGGTATTTTTTTTATAACTATTCCAGAGAATATTTGTTATGAATATGTCACAAAAACTATTATGTTTTCCATATTCTTATTTTATTTTAAATTTCTGTGTGTTGTTACAGTATGGACATTGAAGAAATTGAAGGGATGGATGTGGAATGGTTAGCTTGAAAAGAAGATTGATTGTTTTTTTTTTTATAATCATAATCAAATCTTTGGCCTTTATATTAAAGCCCCAAATTGCTGTTTTTTTTTCTTTCTTTTGGGGAAGGAGGATTTTAAATTTCTCCATTTGTTTGCCTTTTTATTTTATTTTTATTTATTAAAAAAATGATCAGTAATAAAGGCGTTTGCTAGAAATCGCAGGGTCTAGAGAAAAATAATAGATGAGGGAGAAATTATTTTATTATATGTATGTCTCCCAGTTTTTCTTTTCTGTCAATTATATGAGATATCTGATATTTAATGGTTCTCATCATTGTATTTTAATTTATATTTTTAGAAAATTTTGTATTTTATTTGGTTGCGTATTTTCACAAGTAATATTTTACAATTCTGCGACTAAATTATTGAAAGTTTCATTTTTTTTTAAAAAGGGTCATTACTCTTTTCTCAATTTTTTGGTTATATTAAGGATTTGAAAGGGTAAAGAGGCAGTAAAAAATTGAACAAATGCACAGGTGAGAATGCTTGAAGAAGTAATTATCATAATTTGTCAAAAACTCAGAAAACTTTATTTCATATTAAAAGTGAGCGTAAAATAACATTCTTCTTTGAAAATTAATGTGTTGCAAATGTGAATCGTCTTTAAGTAAATAATATATATAAAAATTTGAAAAAGAGAGCTTATTATCTAAACTTTGAGATTATTTAGAGGAGATATGAATTAGTCAGAGGAGAACAATAATGTATTTGTTTAAATGATACATATACATCTTTTTTGATATAGTTATACATTATTTATATAGTATGATATACGTTATATATACATATCGATACTTTATTTATACATATAACCATTTTGTTGAAATTAATTTTAATTGCCTATACATATATATCACAAATTTTGAATTATTTGTATGTAAATGAAAATTTAACTATATTTAATATAAATAAAATTATATTATTATATATTTATGAAATTTATCCTTATAATATTGTTTGACCTTGTAATTTTATTTTTTTACGACGTAATCTTGCAATTCATAAAGTTGGAAGAAAAAAAATAATGAGGCACTAAAATAAATGAAATAGACAAGCTTAAATTATTCTTCAAATTAAAATAGCTTTCATCTCACCTATCATTTAGTTTTTTTTTTTACAATAAAAGAAATAGTCATAAATCATGTCTATTTTTTATATTATTCAAAAGTAAATGGTTATAGGAATAATTCAAAAAAAGTAAAGAAGTAATTATGTTTCTTCTTTAGTTCCCTCTAAATTATAAGAGTAACAAAAATCGAATCTTTGAGAGTATTATACTATCATAAACACAATTTTTTGAGTTGATTTGATTCTTTCTTTTTTTTAACGAAAAAATAATTCATTTTGTCTTCATCACATGTTCCAAAGATTATTGAATAATTAAATAAAAGAGAAGATGAGTCTTAAGCTCTTCCATGCATATTCCCTGTAACACCTTTCACACAATAAAAAGGATGAGGAGTATATACATATATCTATTTTAAGTTTTTTGAGGAGTTAATATCTCAAAAGATTATTTAATTTTAAAAAAATATCTTCTAAAATTATTAAATTTTATTTTGTATCGTTACTAAATTTATTAAGAATCTTGACATGACAAAACAATTTTTTTGATGTTATGTTCATATAATGGAGTAGTAATCCGAGTCATTTGTTTATTATTTTAGTCATGGACATGGTATAAAAGATAATTTATTTGGTTATGTTAAAAAATTTTGAGGATAAATTTAATTAAGTGATCTTGTTAATATGAAAATCAAAATTGAGTGATAAATTTTTAAAGTTTAATGACTTTGCTAGATATTGTTTATTTTTTGGTTGGGTGTGTAACCCTTTAAATAGGCTCTATGCTAGGTAAATTTACTCTTATGTAATTGCACATATGATAAAAATTCAAATAAAATGATCCTTTGTATATGTAGTTAGTAGTATTGTATTGAAATTATATAAATAGTTATGTAATGTATCAGATAAATAGTTATCAAATGTGTCGATATTATATAAACAGTTTTGTGATGCATCGATATAGTATAAATACTTATGTAATATATGAATATTGCATAAATAGTATATATAATCAAATATATAATACAACTATATAGAAATATAATATTACGTATACAAATTGAGCAGTGATATTTGCTCGAGAACAAACATAAATTTAAATGTGAGGTGGCTATCTTCGAACATAAATACATATTTTAGTTATTATTTTCTCACATGTCAATACCTTTAATTATCTTTTGAGTATTGATTATATTTTTTATTATTTAGTAGTATTATATTTTAATAGGCAACTTTTACATATAGCAAATAAAAAATTTATATTTGTATGCTATAGCAAAGTTTGCATAATTGCGCTCCATAACAAACCTATAACTTGTATAATTCGCTATACATATACAGTTGAAGCAAATTGTATAAAACAAAATGTATAAAACAAGAAAAAAAACACTTGGGCAGAGAACTGTATAAAGTGTATAAAACGAATTGTATTATTATAAGTGTGTAGAACGATTATATACAATTTGAATTTGTATAAAATGAGAAAAAGAGAAAGACAAAAGAGAATTGACAAGGAATATGCAATTGAATCGAATTGTATAAAACGAGAAAGAGAGAAATTAGATACAATTTGAAAATTGCATAAAACGAGAAAAGAGAGAAAGACAAAAGAAACTGGGCAGGGAAATATTTTTATTGTATAATTATAAGTGAATAGGATGAAAATATATGTA